TCTGTAAACCGCTTAGAGAGACCTGAAGGCCTATGAAGCGGTATATAAGTCTACCGCTATTGCTATTGCTATTTAGGAGGCTTGTAGAGTGCTTCTGGGGGTTGTAAAGTGCTCCTGAGTCCTCCGGGATTGGGCAGCCTATAAATCTAATAAATTGAATTGAATTGGGGGGCCCAGAACAAGCAAACAATGGCCCATTTTTCATGAAAAGGAGCCCTTTTTTGTCAAAGAAAGGACATGTATAGCCTTTAGGAGGATTGATCCTAGGGGCTGGGGGGGGGGCAAAATTGAGCAAACAATGGCCTGTTTTTCACTCATTTCTGCCCTCCCCAGCCCCCAGGAGCTCTCTGAAAGCCTCTTACAAGCTATGTAGGGCCATTTTAGTGAAGGGGGGGGATTTGGAAGCAAAAAATGCTGCATTCGGTGTATAAGATGCACCCAGATTTCATCCTCTTTTTTGAGGGGAAAAAGTTGCATCTTATACTTTGAAAAATATGGTATGTACATTTATGTTAAAAACCTGTCAACTTCATATTTTTCACATGCATGTGAAGACCGTATATTAAGTGGTACCATCTGTACAGTAAATATTAAGTAAAGGACAAAAGAGTGACAATTCTGAAATCAATCATCACATAGATAACCTGATTTTTTTCTGTGAGGCATTGCAACAATTCATTAAGTTTGGGAGAGGATATGATTTTCATTACCAAAATTGTGAAAAATACAAATTATTCCTATAAGAGACAGCAATGGTAACACCATATTTAGCCCCCAAGTAACCTAAGACACTTTACTGGAATATTAAGTAATACATTGTGTAAGAATGTTCTCTGTAGTTACAATAACAAGACTGTTTTGCACATTCTGTTGGCAGGTCAAAGAAAATAGTTGGCTGGTCACAGAAGATAGCTGGCAGGTGAGGCTGTCTAGTTGTCATGCTAAAAGTAATAATGCTGACTATAGTAGCTGCCAAACAGGATGGAGAATACGCCAAAAGAGATGGAAATTACTGGAAATTGGTAAACAGATGGGATGGAAGAGGACCCTTTCAACCAGAATGTAGCCAATAGGATGAGTGGGCAGTAACAAGGCTGAGCTTCGGAAAATGTATATAACTATCATATATTTCTATGGAAGATGTCCTCTTGTGATTTCACCATATGAGCATGGAGGTCCCTTTTGCAAAAGTTCAATAAAGCTCTAATTATTGTTCAGCTGTCTCTTGGTAATTTCACACTTAAAGGGTTAACCTCTAAGGGTTAATTTCACAAAAATGTTTTGCATCACCTATTCTTCCAATTACTATAGATCTTCTAGAGAAGACCTCAGAAATGAGACAAAGCAAAGCAATACAGTTAATTCACTTCTCTATCAGAACTACGGGGACTATGTTACTTTATGAAACAGTGTGAAAGATATTTTGTATGAACCATTACTGATGAAGCATGTTTTGAAGCTTGGCATAGGAATAATGAATGATCTTCAAATAACTAATTGAAGTATTTTATTAAGTTGTCTGTTTTTTGTAAAACTTAATGCTCAAAAACCTGTTCAGGAATTATCTACTGAAGTAACTTATATTATTTTTGAATAATATATTTCAGAGTTATAGTTTACCTGTCTATAGTAAATTTGACCCAAAATTGCTATTGTTGCAGATCACAGAAAATTTCTTGGAGCACTGCGTGAGGCCCATACAGTGGTGGTATCACAAATAATTATATTCAGGAAATAACAACTATCAACACCTCTTCAACAAAATCATTGAAGTAAATCTGATATGCCAAAATAGCTATTTGAATCAGATCTGAGCAATATAGAAGAAATATTCCTAATTACAAATAAAAAATATTTTTAGATCTGACTGTATGATGACTCTGTCAAGTCCAGAAGCTTTTCTTCTATGGACTCAGGGACTGAATCATTGATAGTCTCTGCATCCTCGCTGCTACAACTCTCCAAACTACAGCTGTCTTCACTACGATAATTCAGGAGTACACATTTTATTTCACCTAGAATTGAAATTACAAGATTTACAAAATTATATAATCTTTTCCTGAATAAAAAGAATTTGATTGTTTACATTTAACTGAATTTCTTATTTGTGCAATCCCAAAGACATTGAATAAGCTACAATTTGTGTTAATTTTTCCAGTTTAGTTCTAGGCTATCAACTGCTTGTTTAATAATATACAGTGAATGTTTCTAGAACATTTAACATTTAAACAAGTTTAAAATCACTTGGAAATACTCAGCCCACCTCTTGTAATATTTACTTTAATATTGATCTTCAAGACTGTGGTGAAATGGTTTGAGATAATCACAAAGGACACAGGAATGAAGAAAGTACCTTTGGTCAAGTCATTTAGGGATTTAAATTTAAAAACACTCTTGGATAGAAACCAAGAGAGTTTCTATCCCAGAGAACTCACAGAGTTCTCCCCAAGTCACTCCTGTGTTGTCTTGGCTGTATGCTTAGGATCGTTGCCCTACTGGAAAGTGAACCTTTGGCTCATCTGAGGTCCTGAGCACTGTGGAACAGGTTTTCATTGACGATATCCCTATACTTTGTTCCATTCAACTTAACCCTGACCAGTTTCCCAGTCCCTGCTGCTGAAAAACACCTCCACAGCATGATGCTGCCACCATGCTTCACTGTTGGGTTGGTATTGGGTAGATGAGCAGTGGCTGGTTTTCTCCAGACATATCATTTAGAATGGAGGCCAAGAATTCAATCTTGGTTGCATCTGACCAGAGAATCTTGTTCCTCACAGTCAGAGTCCTCCAGGTGCTTTTTTGCAAGTGGAGTTTTCACATGTTTTGCACTGAAGAGAGGCTCCCATCTAGCCACTGCCATAAAGTCCAGATTGGTAGAAGGCTGCAGTCCTTCTGAAACTCTGTCCCATCTCCACACAGGATCTCTGGAGCCCAGTCAGAGTGACCATTGGATTCTTGGTCACCTCTCTTACTGAGGCCCTTCTCCCCTGATTGTTCAGTTTGACCAAGTGGCCAGCTCTTGGAAGAGTCCTGGTTGTGCCAAACGTTTACATTTGAGAATTACGGAGGTCACTGTGCTCTTAGGAATCTTCAGTGCAGCAGAATTTTTATTGTAGCCTCCTGCAGATCTGTGCCCTGTAATAATCCTGTCTCTGAGCTCTGCAGGCAGTTCTTTTGACCGCATGGCTTTTGCTCTGCTACAATATGCATTGTCAGTTGTGAGGCCTTCTATAGAGAGGTGTGTTGCTTTCCAAATCCTGTCCAATCAATTTAATTTACCACAGGTCAACTCCAATCAAGGTGTAGAAACATGTCAGCAATAATCAACACAAATGGGAGGTATTTTGCACCTGTTGTTGCGAAGGGTCTGAATACTTATGCTAATGTGATATTTCAGTTTTTTTCTTTTTAATAAATTTACAAGACATTTCTTAAAATTCTGTTTTCACTTTGTCATTATGGGGTACAAAGTGTAGATGAATGAGGGGGGAAGATGAACTTCAACAACTGTAAAATCAGACTGCAGTAGAACAAATTTGACAAAAGTGAAGAACTGAATACTTTCTGAATGTACTGTATCTTTCCATTCCCCACCATCCAGTCTCAACTATCAGTACCTATCCCTCCATTTCCCCCACAATCACAACTGATGAAGTTTGAGAAACTAAATGTTTTGTTCTTCCTCTAGGAAAAAAAAACCAGCCCACTTGCCTTTTGAAAAAGCACCTTTGAGACAACTATGACCTGGATGACTGACACTCACCATAAGGCTTGATTTCCAGATGTATTACTATTCTGGTATCCATTCTCTGAACTTGATCCAATTTGTCCCTGTCCTTTTTGAACTGTGGTGCTCTGAACTGACTTCATCTGGAATCTAATAGAGGCGCAATATGATAAATTGAAAAGTAATTATTTTTATGCTGTGGATCACTTTTGCTGAATAACAAAGAAAATTCTACTTTACTATGCTGCAACATGAGAAATTTTTTGTCCTGCTTGATAGGGTAGACTCTATAGAAACACGACTAACATTCATTGACTCAATTGAAGCATGTTTAAAAGCACATTTATCATCTATTGGGGAAAAAATACAACACCAAAAGCGAACATCCAACAGCTCAAAATCCTATCCCAATCTAACCACCATTACCACAACTACAACCACCAACCCAGCAAATAATATCTCCATACTCATCAAAGACGTCATTAAATGTGAACAGAAATGTCCAAATGTTATTTTATTTGGTCTAGAGGACAACAACGAATCTGATGATATCATTAAGGTTTGCAACATTATCAGCAACTTTCAAACTTCATCCATCTCCCCTGATGAAATCATCAACATTTCTCAAGATGGCCCTGACTTCAAGAACGGTGATGGCTCATTGGGCCCACGCTTTTGCAGAGTCATTTGCAAGAATGAGTCTAGCAAACACAAATTCATTTATACAATAAACTCAATCGCTAGAACCAACATCAACCTTAACGAACTTTGTTCACGGCCTGACCTATCCATACTGCAACATGCCTGCTCCCGTGAACTCTGCTGAGAACTTAAAAGATGCCAAGACCTAGGAGAGACTAACTTCTACATTGACAACTGTGTTGACTGTATCAAAAATGAGTTCTACAGCCCATGTTTCAACAACCACCATCACCACCACCATCCAAAACTAGGCATGCACACCCCTTACTTCCTCAAGACCCACCACTATAGACCTTAAATGCAAGCTATTTAACGCAAGAAGCCTCACAAACAAAATGCCTGAATTCCTCCTCTTACTAAATATGGCTATATTTGACATTATCTTTGTCTGCAATACTTGGCTGAATACATCACTCCCAGACTCCATTACCACAGTAAAAGACTATCATGTTTATCGGTCTGATCATGAAAATCATAGAGAGGGTGGTGTTGCTATCTTCTATAAAAAGTCCCTAAATCTAAAAAATATTCAAGTTACACAGGAACTCCCTGTTCCTGAGACCATCGTCTATGAGCTGTCCTTAAATACTACATTTCACTTCTTATTATGTTACAGAGCCCCTGATTATGACCTTCAACATGCAAACAAACTAACTTCACTACTAACATGGGCAGGCTCCTGGCCACATCCTCTTATCTTTCTTGGAGACCTCAATCTACCTCTTATTAATTGGACCATAAACAAATGTACATCTGAACCCATACATTCAACCCTGTACAATATTGTTACTAATCTGAGACTGGATTAACTAGTAAATAACAACATTGGACTCAACAACTGCCTTGATCTTATCTTCTGCAAGAGTTTAAACTCAATTTATGGTCTACGCATAAGGATACCATGGTCGATGGTATTGAAGGCTGCTGAGAGGTCAAGAAGCACCAGGATAGAGGAATGTCCTCTATCCCTGGCCCGCCAGAGATTACCGGTCAGCGCGACCAAAGCAGTTTCGGTGCAGTAACCAGGCCTGAAACCCGACAGAAAGGGATCCAGATAATCCGCTTCATCCAAGGTCCGTCGGAGTTGAAAGGCCACCACCTTCTCAACAACCTTCCCTACAAAAGGGAGGTTGGAGACTGGACGATAGTTATTAAGAATAGCTGGATCCAGGGAAGGTTTCTTAAGGAGGGGTCTCACCACCGCATCCTTTAGAGGGTGAGGGAAGGATCCCTCCTGAAGAGAGGTGTTAACAATCCTCTGGAGCCAGCCTCATGTCACCTCCCTGCTGGTCGAGACCAGCCAGGAGGGACACGGGTCCAGTAAGCAGGTGGAGGCACTTACCACTCCCATGGCCTTGTCCACTTCCTCAGGAGCGACAAGTTGGAACTCGGTCCAAGAAATCTGATCAAGGCCCTCCCCCGGCATCTCGGTTGGTACTGTCCAAGTGGAGTCCAGGTCCATCCGAATCCGAGCGACTTTATCCGACAGAAACTGAACAAATTCCTCAGCTCTACCCTGCAAGGGCTCGCCCGCATCCCTCCCTTTCAGGAGGGAGCGGGTTATCCTAAACAGGGCAGCTGGGTGAGATTCTGCGGATGCAATAAGAGCGGAAAAATGAGCACATTTTGCCCCGTATCGCCACTAGATAAGTCCTGATGAAGGTTCTTAATTGTGTTGGATTCGAAGTTACTAGCCCTCCAACGTCACTTTAGGCGTCTCTTTTGACGCTTCATCTCCCGGAGTTTCTCGGTAAACCAAGGAGCTCTCCTGGATCCACTGCAGTGGAGAGGCCGTAAAGGCGATATCCGGTTCAGAGCCTCAGCCGCCGCTGTATTCCAGGTAGTGACCAAGGACTCCACTGGACTGTGGGCAAGGGAGTCAGGTATCTCACCAAGCGCCGTCTGAAATCCCAGAGGGTCCATCAGGCGCCTGGGGCGGAACCACCTAATCAGTTACCCCTCCCTATAGTGGGGGAGTGGTTTCCGAAAGTCGAGCCTCAGTAGGAAGTGATCTGACCATGACAAGGGCAAGATCTCAATGCCCTTCAATTTTAGATCACGTCTCCACTGCTCCAAGAGAAACACGAGGTCGAACGTGTGACCCGCTGTATGAGTTGGACCCTGAATTACCTGGGTCAAGTCCATGGCTGTCATGGAAGCCATGAACTCCTGTGCTCCATCCGAGCGTTCGCCAAGTGACGGCAGGTTGAAATCCCCCAGCACTATCAGTCTGGGGAACGCAACCGCCAGTCCGGCTACTGACTCAAGGAGCACAGGCAGGGCTGTTGTAATGTAGTTGGGAGGTAGGTACGTTAGAAACAGGCCCACTTGACCCTCTAGGACCAACTTCACCAGCAGGGACTCACACCCAACAGTCTCTGGAGCAGGGATCCCACAAGGAACTAATGACTCTCGGATGATGACTGCCACTCCCCCACCCCTGGGATGTTAAATGCTCCAAATATTCCAATTTTCTCTCAATTTTTTCCTCTGTATTTAATAATTTTTGCAGTTCTGAAAGTATTCCTTGCAAATTCAGAGACACTACATGTGCCATATTCATACATAGTTGCTTTCTCTTAGAAGGTCAGCAACATTAAAACATACATTCACAAGCTCTCTGTAAGGGAAAACAAACTTCAAAAGGACAGCTGTGGAGTCTT